AAATATGAATAACAATTTATCGTCAGTTATTATGGAACACCCTTTATGTGATGATGCATAATAAAAAGAAAAGCAGTATATCTTTGTCTTATTGCACATGTGTTGTAACACATCAAATTATGTTCGATGTTAAAACTAAATATATGAAAAGATATAGTATGTTTTAGACTGTATATCTTCCTAAAACGGATGTTAAAAGAAAGTGAACTATGAGTAAAAAAGAACAAGAAAAAAGCAAGACAGAAGAAATTTAATCGTTGGTCATAGTAGAATAAGCTTCATGTTTTAGAAATATGATTAAAACTTGAAGATTTCAGTTCTGGGAACATTCAAAAAAATATATTGAATGATTTACGTTATTCTAGATCAATTATAAAAACGTACAAAAAAATGAAAAATAGAATTTGAACCGAGTTTTGCTTGAATAGAGAAGAGAAATAATTACATCGAAAGTATGTGCAACTCCAAATATTATATTTTTCATTGTTAATTTCGCATATGTTGTATTCTTTTCTAAACGTCTATAGACATGCTTTTTATAATAAATATTTGTAATGATTTTCAATATAAAATTTAAATCTCCAAGAATAAAAGATAAATAATTTTGAAAAAATTCTGTATGATTGTAAATAAAAACATGAAAAAAAAAACAAATAAAGTAATGTTTTACTTTCAATGATATTTATATTTCATAAAAATATTTTACATTGTCTATAAAATTAAATGAAAATTCAAAATTGAATGCGAACAAAGAGCTTCTCTCAACTATTTATATTGAATTCAAGTGTTTTAGTGAACAAAAAAAGTTTATTCATAAGCCTTGTTCATTTAATAAATAATATAAAGACAATCAGTTTTTTTTCTTTTCTCCAAAACAAAGTAAAGATAAAGAGATTTATTCTACTAAATTAATCTACTAAAGAAAAGAAAACACAACGAAGCTTTCGCTTGAAATTTTACTTTACTTTATGAATTCTTATTGTCTTTTTATGTCTTGCTACATTAAAAATCAAATAAATTACTAGAAAGCAATTGTATATGTAAACTTATTTTTCTAGTGAGCTAACTCTAACAACATCAGAATTTATCAATATATATATCCACAAACAAAATTACGTCAGAAGAAAAACTAAAGCAATAATGAGAATTCTTTTCTTTCTAATAAAATTCTAGCTATTGGAATGCAATTCACCACCGAGTTTTTCAACAAAATAGTCGAAAAAATGAAGGTTTTTTGTGGCATTTCGATAGAAAAATCACTTTTTTAACGTAGGAGAAAAACGCTATTCTTTGAAAACGTTTGACTAAAACCTTCGAAAAGTCGTTAGAAAAATCTTTGTATATGTGGTTCGATGCATTTTCATCTGTTCTTTCCAACGGTGAAAACCACAAGTCTCTATCTCATTCCTATCAAAAGTTATTTGAAAAATACCCACGGCCATTTATCTCTGAAATGGACATTAGATATTTTAACATTATTTATGAAGAATCTTTTTAACGTCACAACTACTTAAAAATGTGCACAGATTATCAAAGAAATCATGTTGTTTGTACTGTCAACTGCGTATTTTAATGTTCCAATCTATTGGATTTTACTTCTATAGTTAGACTTTAGTTATCAACTCCTGCATTCTTATTTTACCATTAAACTTTATAGTTTTATTGACTAATCTGCGAAAATACGGCATGTATAAACGAAGACACATTGTTGGTGTGTAACCCTTTCATGTGCTTTGAATAAGATAGTTGCTCTGGCAAGTCGATGTTGCCATCAACCCGCACGTGTTCATCATCGCAACAAGAATTTGATCAGAGCAGAACATTTACCTCTTGATAACTTGTAATAAGCAATTTTTCTTATCGACATGCAAAGCACGATATGTCTTCTACCTTTACACATAAGGAATAAGAAACCGTCCATACAAACATAAAATATGTAAAGACAAAACGGATGTCGTGTCCTACACATTGCCATGGAAAGTTGCTTATTAAAACTAACCAGGAGGTAAATGATCAACTTCTGTCAAACTTCATGTTGCGATGACGAAAATGTGCGGGTTGATAGCAACATCGACTTGCCAGAGCAACATTCGAAAGAAAAAGACCTAACTGTCTCTCACTGTTGATTTGAATCCGAACAATTCAGAATATATTGCAATATACATCCTTTTGAAAGATGTATGTTAAAAAATGGCAACCAATTTCTTTCTGATAGTAATGTAGTATCTCGATGAACACGAAGGAAAATATTATTTCGCTTTTTGTCTTGCTGTTTGAAATGGATTCAATTGTTGAGATGTTTACTACTGTAAGTTGTCTGCGCTGAATCTGTTAGTAAAAAACAAGCGATTTGAACGAAAAGCACTAAGACAGGTGAATGTGTGAATAGGATACGTCTCGAATAGAGACATAAGCTATTGCATAATTGATCGTATCGATTATAATCGGTCAGAGTGATATAAAACTAGTTGAATAAAGTAGTCTTCCGTGATTCTTCTTTGGCTTTTTTCTAGTCATATGATAGTAGAATTGGAATTGTTTAGAAACAGCTATATTTTATTTTCTTCGTAAGTTGATTCTTACTATTTGATTTCTTTTTTTTTTGAAACATGTATTTGATGAAGGAATAAAACAGGAAGTTAGATGCATGTTGACAAACGAAAACATGTTCGGAAGATTTAAAAAACAATAAACGGAAAAATAAAATGTCTACTCGTTGAGGAAAACAATGTTTGACCTTTACAATGATAAGAATAATTTGATAGTATGAAAGACATATTATAAATGTTTGAGTGAATGCATATGTGTAAGTTTAGTATGAATATAATAGGGTCGAATGACACATGGATAATGTTGTTTAATGTATATTTGACGATAGTTTATTGTCCTATTATCACTAATATTTTATTTTGAATTTTACAATAGAGTCTGATGAATATGTCTTACAGATACTATTTCAGTATGATTATAAATAGATAGTTGTGAAGTTTCACTGTAGTGTAAATTAAGAAGAAAAACAGACTCGAAGAATGGAAAACATGAAAATAAAATAAACTTTTGACATCTACAATGATAGTGAGTGAGAATAAAAAAACTTAAATAAATAAAATATTATTCTTATTCCATTTTAAATTGGTATAAAAGTTATTTTTGTTTTTGTGTTGCTTTTATCGATTCTGTTGTTCAATTTGGACAACAACATTCTATCGGTGAAATGATTACTTTTATTTCACTATTCTATAATTATGGGTTTTTAGTCGTATGAGATTTTGTTTGATGCATAAGAAATTCGATATTATTATTTAGTAAAAGTTATTATAATTTTCATATCTAGAAGTAAAATAACTAGTTTGTAGTGCATTTCCAAAAAGTAAGTTCGAGTTCCGGTTTAGTTCGGTATAGTCCAGATTTCATATATTCACAACAAAGAAAGCTGCTAAATTACACTACGCTTTTGTCTTAAGATCACTTGTCCAATGCATAAATAGTAATTTATCTTGAATTACAACAAGTATTTCAGTCTCTATTTAACTCTTTAATATTTATCTGATAGAAATTAAAGAGAGATGATGATAGATCAATTACTTAAGAATAATATGCTGTTATCAATTAGACAAGCATCCATCTATTCATCACAGCACAAAACAATGAGAAAAATAAACAAAAATGAATTAAAATTTTAGATCGCATACAAGTGATCGATCGTCATTAGCACATTATATGTAATTGTTATGAATAGAGAACGAAATGCTGTTTGAAGATTAAATTAACTATGTAAAACAATTGATCAAAGATCACTTGATCATTGTCAACAACATTTATTTTTATGAAATAGATGAGAGTTCAAAGCAATATTAGTTCTGTTCAGGTTCGACATCACTTTTCAAGAAACACTTCAAATTCGGTTCGTTTTTGATCTCTGGTTTACATCGTACGACAAGATTAGTTATTTTTTTCTGCAGTCTAGATCAGCTACTTTCTCTTTAAATATTTATATATTAATTTCAATTTTATTAATATAGAAAGAAAAAAAAGATAGTTATTTCCATTGTAAATATATCTTATTATACACATGTTTGATTGTATAATTGAATAATAATTTTTCAGAACGAATCATCGTATCGAAATTTTGAATGATTTCATCATCCATTGTTGGAACATCGAAACATAATGAACGAATAAAGTAAATATTATTATTATTATATATGACCTTCAAATATGTACGTAAACAGAATTGAATATTTATATTGAATCGTTTCACTTGCAATAGTTTCATACGAGGACAAAGTAGTAAAATATTATGAAAATCTTTAATATTATTTATTTCTTCAATATAAACGTTAATAATATTGTTTCGATATTTCCTTAAATAACGATTACGTAGTTCTTTAAAAGCAAATGATGCTGTTTCATTTGATGGTAAAGAATGCATTTTTAATGTAATTAAATCAGGTAATGCATTAATTAATTGAATTACTAGAGGTATTGAATGTTTTTCAATGATGATTAAATGATAAATTTGTGTTATAGTTAATACACGTTTTATTTGTTCAAATATCATTTCATCATATGACCAGGTAGGAAAATTAGCGAATATTAAACTTGTTGATGTTGAATATTCAATATTGTTATCATCTATATAATTGTACCATGTTTTTCTGAAAAAAACAAAAAAACAGAAGAATAAATTTTTTTAATAAAAAATATTCATCGATATACTTGTATGGATAAATCATATATTTGTTATATATTCCGTTAATTTGCACATGAAATATCTATTTTCTTTGAAACCGAAATGATGAAGAAAATTGATTTAGTGGTCCAGTATATATTGGATATTGATTATTATTATTAATACCATCATAGTAGGTTAAATAGAATTTTTCTAATTGAG